GCTTATTTTTTGGCACGTGTAAATTTCATGTGCGCTTTTAATATTCTCTGTATGACGGATTTATTATTATATATTTATTTTAATATTAACGTTTGTTTAGATTAAATTTATATTTAGAAACATGCATAGCTTATACTGTTAAATATGTATTGCGAAACTTCAGCCTATTCTCCAAAGTTGTAGAAGATTCTCGATAGTAAGAATCAACAATATATGTACGTAAATGCTTAAATTTGTATTGTTACGTAATCTGAATTTTCTAGAAAGCCTACACACGCCTATAAATATAACCAACGCGACACGCCAAAAGAGAGTATCTATTACTAGTTCGCTATAGTCAGCGTGCTATAAACTTTGAAAGCTATAACTGTGATTGTTATAACGCTTATCAATCGGAAAACTTCGGATATTTCATCAGGAGCATTTACAAAGTTCGAACATTACAAGTCATTTAACTTCAGTGGATTCTCATCGGACGTTAGTATTTTTACAAAAACCATATATAAATTCCTCGTGGAAAACTCGGCGTGTGTCGTTGGTAAATAATGAAGGACAACGCTAGCTAGCTAGCTCCCTGTTAAGTGAATTACACCTACGTCAACTCGTAATCAACTCGCTAATCGTGAACCCTCGATAAGATATCGAAAAAGATCCAGACTAGAAAGAAGACTTTATATTGCTTGTAAGTTTGTAAAACTTTTGTATATAAATCAGTGTTTGTAATAACTATTTGTAATAACTGTTATTGTAAATTGTATTGTTGTGTGTATATTAAAAAATAAAACTGTTGTATCAATCTTGTTGGCAAATATCATAAACTGACTATATATCGGCTACTAAATATATCGGTTTTAATTTAACTACTAAATTTAAAGTATCATTTAGCTCGGTTTCAGACCATTGAAAATTCTAATACGTAACATAAGTGATATAGTAACAACAACTAACATGGGAAAATGACGGGGCGGGGGGGGGGGGCGCAACAAAACGCATGTTTAGAAACCAGGATGCCTTAAAAGTGTTTGCGCACTACTGCCTTAGTGAAGGCACGTGCACAATGAGTTCATAGTGATAATAACACATCTTTCATTACAACAATTACATTACAAAATAACAATAATTGAGAAAGATTTTATAATAACTTTTCCAAGATAGATAAGGACAATTTGCTTCTTAAGAGTGAAGTTGAAAGTTTTCTCAAGAAATATTTCAGAAGGTAACAGAAATATAAAATTTAATGAACAAACCCAATAATATTTGTTCATATGCAATACAAAGGAAAGTGTAATTGCTTAAATCTAAATCAATTAGACAAAAGAGAATATACAAAATTGTACAACTGTAAATTCAGTGTATTTAACACTAACTAATGAATATGAAATTGCATTAGAGCTGACATTTTAAAGTACGATATTGATAAATTACGAAAAATAACAAGACACTTAGTTAATATATGAAAGGCAAAAATAATTTTTCCAGACATCATAAAATATGCTTTCATTATACCAACATTTAAATAAGGTAGTGAAAGTGATCTAAATAATTACAGAATAATTTCATTACTATCATATTTGTTAAAAGTTCTCGAAAATGCAGTTAAAGAAAGATTTCTAAAATTTTTAGATTCAATAAATTTTTCTCAAACTTTCAATTCGGGTACAGGATAAGTAAGAATACTGAGGATGCACTACGTAGGATGATTAACAAATTAAATGATTTGATTAATGACAATAATATATACTATGTTTTAGATATATCAAAAGCTCTTACAACTTACAAGAGCTTTATAAAAACTATAAAAATGGAATAAGAGGCATTGTTTTAAAATTGTTTAAATCACATACATTATATAGTAAACAAGTAGTTAACATTAATATAATTATACCCAATGAAAAATAAATTAATACTCAAGTGCTACAGAAGTCAGTTTTGGGTCCACTATTATTTTTATTTCAT